AACAAGGAATCCAGATAAGAATTGCACTTGATCCGATCAAAGAACTTAAATCCGTTCTTTAATTCGTGCTATACAACATCAAGTGGGAGTGGTAGACTCGATGAACCCGAGTTTAAATGAGACTTAACTCGGACTCAAACATATGCAAAGAACAAAACTCGGATCATACACGAGGAAATTCAAATTACAAGAGCACTCGTACGGTCAAAAGTGTCACAAAACACGTTATAAGACCTCAATGCATGAAATCCTAAGACAATGCCTGCATGTGTCTATTGATTGAGATGACAATACTGGAGACCAACAATGAAAGACCGTCCCCTGTAAACAAGTACAATTAACAAAACCACCTGAGATTGGTGACAGGTGGGCATGATGTAGGCAACAATGGGTCTCCTACGAACAGTTCCAGGAGCTCGTAGTGGATACAACGGGTCTCCGCAAATATATACAAGTCACTTGTGGATAACAATAGTGGGTATATCGTAGGTACAACGAACCACTGTGGGCACAAGTATTGATATCACCTACGACATCGGTGATCAAGATCTTCAAACTTTTCGGGTACAAGGGCGACTCGATGTACAAAAGGTACACTCCCTGGCAAAATCAGAAAGGAAGGACTTACAAATTAGAACCAAACTTCCTGGTGTTCCAAAGTCTCTTCTTAGTTCTATATTTAAGAAGAAAACAGCTCTGGTACCCACAAATACCGGAAATAACAAATCTGCTACACTGAAGATCCTAAAAGGAGTTCCCCCAAACCAGCAGTCATTGACTCCAAAGTCCAGAAAGATCTCTCCCCGATGATTGAGAAAGGGGAGTCAACATCAAAATCCAACGCCATCGGATCCGCAATACTCGTGCTAGCGGACAGAAGGCGTGTACAAGCCCTCAAATGAAAAGTTGTGCGCACTCAAATAGCTGTTACCTACACAACTACAAATATTTCAAAGTACCCCTGCACATGCACTATAGTTTGTATACATATAGGTACACAATGGGGTATATCTAAATCAATATAAAAATCACCAGCATGGGCCCTGGTGAGCGTGTTATTGGTACACACGCGACGCCTAGGGATGTTGCGCGGGTCGATAAATGAATTCTAGTTCGAACCCGATCCTTCTATACGGATCAATAGAAGTCGACAGGGTTTAAACCTTCAAACAAATACATGGTTGTGGGGATCGATGTATTTGTTTCAATACATTCATATTAGGCCTTCAAGGCTTACAATCAAGAAAAATCACAAACAAAGGCGTAAAGCCTATGAAACCAGATCCTCCTAAGTGGATAAATAAGAGTAGATAGGGTTCGAGATATCGGATAAATATGCGGTCATGAAAGTTGACCAGAATATTTATTTTGTACATTCATATTTGGCCTTCAAGGCTTTCAACAAAGAAAATTCATGAACAAAAGGGCACAAAGCCTACAAGAAATCTGATCCTCGATCAACCGCTTGGTCGAGTCGACAAGGTTCAATCAAATGGAAATGACCCCAAGTACACCCCGATGATGGCCGTGTTGAATGCAAATCTCAACCGGAGGGGTTCACAAATACTTTCAAATGTCTTCCAAAAGTCCATTCAAATTCTAAAACTCCAAAAATGCCACTCAAAATCTTAAAATTCCAAGATATTTTATATTTGAAATCAAACCATCAAAGACTAAAAGCGTAATCCATTTACCCTCCGCAACAGTTTGTCGAGGCGGACAAATTAAAATTTACTTCAGCTCACAAAGAGCCAAATGCCTAGTAAAAATATCACTAGGATCCATTCTCAAACAATCTCCTGCTAGTAAGGACGTGGTACGTGTCCTCTAACCGGCGGTTTCGCCGCCAAATGGCACTGCAGGTAAACGGTTAT